AGTTTTATGGGTGAGAGGAGATTTGATGTTACTTTGTATCATTTGCTTCACATAATAATTATGTTTTTTGTTTTTTTAATTTCTTAATATTGGATTAGGGTTGAGCATGTAATAGGTTGTGGGTAGAGTGTTGATTTTGAGTGCAGTGCCGCGGGTCTTTGCGGTATTTTGGGAAAGTCATATTCGTCCGCGTTAATTGTATGCTGGTGGAGTTGTTTCTACGATGAGATATGCTCTTTGCGCAGTATCTAGGCATGCTATTATTTTTATACGTAAGTAGTTGTGAGGTATTTGGAGGAATGGAAAGTTATTGATTACTGATATATTGGCGCACTTTGGAAACATTTCTTTCACCTACCTGAGCTTTCTTTTCTAATTTCTGTTGTTATTGATCACATTCAAACTTGTTGGCTGCTGCTCTGACGGGGGCTTGTGTTGGGCCTTTCTGGGTGTCTGGGGTTTGTGGTGCGCCTCAGACACGTTTCCATCTCATTTTGGTTGCGCTTGATACGTATTAACAAGAAGTGATTCAAAATTATTAAATATTCACTCAGTTCAATTATACTATTTATATCTAGTCTTATGCATTTTTAGTACGATTTTGAAGTGAGATATGGGACAGTTTATGATATGATTAATAATAAAAGGGCGGATAATCAAGCTGTAACTGCGTGTTCTGTTTTTTACAGGCAGAATGTTGCGTGCGAGCCCAGTGGGTTCTGGCTCAGTGGAATCGCTGTGGGGTTTCATGGCTGGGAATTATGTCCTTAACCATTGCTCGCAACACGAGGATTTCGCTGGTGCAGCGTTTGACGCGTGAACTTTGCCAACTTCAAGTATCTCTCTCCTCGTTCATTAGTTTGTTACCACTATCTATCCTTCTCGAGTTTCCTCTCTTTGTCTGAATTGGATGAACTAGCCGCAGCAACCACACACACATCCAGTCACACACTACACACACACCACACAACAACATCTACGGTAGAATAATTCAGTGGGGGGGATCTTTTTCGAACAGCAAAGTATTATTTATTGTACTAACACAGTACACATTTATTTAGGTTTTAGTGCACATATCTTATAGATAATATAAATTTTAGTTGATGTTTGTACTATGTTTTACATTTTCTCAAGTTATGCCTCTGGATTATTTATTATCTCCCACTCCTGTTGCTTTCTAGTAGTGTGTATCCTTGTGCTTATTTTACGAGGTATAAGCGCCTCTATTTTAATACGTCGACTGTTTTTTTGGGGGATTACCATTTGTATTTTAGAGTAAAGCTGGTTTTATCATTAGTGCTTCAATTGGTCTGATATCTGTTCTGTCGCTAGAATCATGTTTCTCATGTTTGATAGCTTATAGGAAAGAGGAGCTAATGCACTGATCTCAGTTATGCTTAGCTGTGGTGACTTTTTCCATTAAGTAAACCATGTTTAATAAGGTATATCGAATGTAAACACACATACAGTGGATATACCAGTTGGTATTACCACATTTGTTTTTTTTTTGTTGCATTGCAAACCGTTAGCTTTGGTTGTTTTTCATAAATAAATTTGGATTTTCAAACAGCTATGAAACAACTGGTATAAAGAGTTCCAATCCATGTGCTCATTATTTAGGTGGGATTGGAGTTTGTATTAGGGCAGAATTATGTATTAGTGATGATTAGTTGTGAGATCTCTTCGCTTTCTTATGCGAAGTAACTCTCATCTCGGTGCTCTCGCATGAATTCGTCTTCCTCAGTGTTTCACTTTAACAGGACACTCCTGTCCAGTAGTTGATGATCTGTGTATCTTGTTATTGATATTGGTTACAATCTCGCATTGAGTTTATCTTTGAGGTGAAGTGTACAGAGTTTCATTTTTGAGTAGGTGGACAAGACGTGGCTATGCTGGCTCATTTGGTCAGGCTGCTACAGGGACATCCACAATCTCGACAGCTGACGATCATCTTTCTGATGCACAGGCGATTTGAGTGATCAATTATTAACTGTCAGCTTACTTCCTCCTACCGAGCTGCTGTGAAGTCGTATTCGTTGCATGGGGTTCACGAATCTGTATTACTCTTGGCTTCAACTGGTAGAGAAGTAAGCTGACAGTTAATTGTCTGTTCGCCTGTGCTCCATGGTTGTGTGGTTGTGTGTCCTGTGCAGCTAAAATGGCAGCTGCAGTTTCCTACTCAAATGAACTCTGTCACTTCCCTCAATAACACTGGTTAACCATTAACACGTACACCAGTCACACACTGGCAGGAGTGCCTGTAAAGGAGAGAGAGAGAGAGAGAGAGAGAGAGAGAGACCAACTGTCATTCTAATACAAATTTGCATAAAAACATAATAATGAAGCACTGGATGCATGTTAGGTTTGATGCACAAAAAAAACAAATTGGTGTATACCAACTGTATATCCACTGTATGTGTGTTTACATTGATATACCTATAAAATGGTTTACTTTAATGGAAAAAGTACCACAGCTGAGGCTAGACAGTGATTGATTGTTGTTGTGCTATCAAACAGATATTTACAAGGTATCACTTGACAGTAATGAAACCTTTATAAATAACATAATCCCCCAAAACAGTGTGTTTATGAGGGTTGTACCCCTGTAAATAAGAAGTACACACTTCTGCAGCAACAGGAGTGAGTAAATCCAGGCGCTTGTGGAATGAATGTACCCTATACTTGTATATGAATGTGTGTGTCTGCGTGTCTGTGTGTGTGTGT